AGTGTGTGTGTGTGTGTGTGTGTGTGTGTGTGTGTGTGTGTGTGTGTGTGTGTGCGAGTTTGCTTGTTTGAACGATTCCAGAAAAGTCTAGCTTGGCCTAACGACACCTTGACGGTAGTGAGAAATCCAAGAGAGCATGCGTGCGAGAGCGACAGGCGTATTTACATTATGTAAGTGCGGTAATATTCCACGGGAGCGTGACCAATCGCGTGCTGTGCAACGGTAGCGCAGCGAGGCGGAAAACCTTTAGGGTCTTTTGAGTTGGGGTGGTAAGTGGGTAGGAAGGTGGGAGAGGGAGATGAGGGGACGGGGCTTGATTAAGGTCGTATCAATCTATAAATTACTTTTCAGGTTTTAGGTTCCGAATTAACTAAGCATTTATAGACGTTTCTTTACTTTGTGTTCCGATGCCAGTCCTTTATTCTAACCTGAATCACATTTCTGTTACTTTATACTTTACTTCCTTTATCTGTTGCTTATACCGAGAAGTGTTGCAGAAACTTGGCAGAGTAGAAATCCTCCTGGGGCCGATTATTCCCCCGGTCCATCATTTCCTGGGTTTTCCTCTCACTTTGTAGTCATGTATTCTTGAGTCACGGTACTTTTAGGACAGGTCGGTTGATAATAGGCACGTATGTTAAATGTACAGGCCATTAGTTGAAACTTTGCTTTTCAATGTGTGGTTGGACTTGCATATCGTTACCATAAATTTATTAATTAAACATCATTTGCCCACAGAGATGGTATAAACTGAAAATCAAAGGGTTACGTTGAACAGATGCAAAAAGCGAATATTAAAGATGACGAGCACCGGGCTCATTCTTTTTGCTTTCCGTTTTGTCGTTGTTCTGGGAAATTGTCAATGTCACGCATCTTGGGAGACCATGACTTGCAGAAAAAAAATTCAAAGCAAAGATACAGTCATTCTTTATTACTATTTTTTGTTGCTGTTGTTGTTGTGCAAGATAACTTTTCTAGAGGTTCTCGTGGTCTAGAGGCTAAGGTGCTCGCTTCTCATTCAATAGGTCCAGGGTTCGAATCCGGAAAGCGACGGAAAATTATCTTCTCCAAAATGTTCTCCTTTCACCTCTTTTCCTGCTCTCCAACAATGTTCTGTCGTCTGCTTTCGTCTCCACTTTCTGCCCCCACCCCCTCAACTCCTTTGCCCCCTCCCCTGGACTCCTGACTCTTTCAGCAGCCTTTCTACTTTCTACTGCTTCTCCTTGGCTCCTTCTTACTACCGTCTTTCGGCCACACCCTTGATCTTATGGTAGGTATAAAGAGCTAACACCTAACCTTCTCGGATAAGGGCGAAAAATCTCGGTGTTACCGTGTGCAAGTTGAACATGTTAAAGATCCCTTGGTGATCCAAAGAGTAGACTTCGACCGACACCCGGGCAAAATTCAAAATTTCCTACCAACTGAAAATGTTCAATCTGTCCTGTGCGCTCATATGACCTTATGCAGT